GAATCTTTATTATTTTGCTTCATGTAATATGTTTAGGTATATCTGCTTTCTTACAAATTAATCATATATATATATATATATATATATATATATATATTCTCAGGATATAGTCCACCATGAGAACGGAATCAAAGCAGTGGTGATCTAACATATTGTTCAAGCACAGTAAAGAAGAAGACAATTAGAATTGTTTGTGTTCCTTTAGCTTTTTCCTACCTATACACCTGTGCAATCACACACACACACACACACACACACACACACACACACACACACACACACATAGCCTTGATACATAATGATATATTTCCTCCAAGAAAGGGAAAATATTCATTGAAGTTCACTCAAATTAGAGGCTATTTAGTTCAGGTTGATTATAGGCTACAAATAGTTTAGCTTTACAGTATGGTGTTATGAATTACACATAGAGGGTAAAACTGTAACTTCTGTACAGATAATGAATACACCTTCTTTGACAGATTGTTAATTCCTGGAGGTGAAAGCAATGAAACTATGTCTATTTAATAAATTTTCTGATACAATCCAAATTTTATCATCTCTTGTCCATATGTGCTACATTAAATGACAAGTTCCTATTTATAAATGTACTAGTCTCTGATCTACAGTCCTCTATTTTGTACTCTTCTTCTGCTGCATAGCCAATAGCTTCTATACCTATTTTATTCTATAACTCTGTATATGGAATTTTTCTGTTTAGATACAGCATGTAAATGAGTTTGTATGATAATTTTCCCTTTGTGTCAATCTCATTTCCAGTAATGACATTCTATCAGGTCTAACCATGTTGTGGGAAGACACAGATTCTCCTTTTGTGAGACTGCAAATTATCACCCTGTGTGAATATGGTACATACAGAGACAGCTATGGGAGTAAACATACATATGAATATGTATATGATTTTATTTATCTATTCATCTGTTTTCATATTTCAGTTACTGTACATCTTAATATTTGTGTGTTTTGAAGAGTGAAGGGCTTAGGCACAGCTGAACATTATCATTTCTATTTCACTTTTGAATATAGCTCAATACGATACTGTCTTTCCCATTTTACTTTTAGATATAACTTAGTGAGGGAAACTCATTATTATGGCTTGAATGTTCTCTCTGTATAAAAATTACTGTAAATATGCATATGACATTATAACAACTTCATCTCTTTCATATTTTTAAACATTTCTGCATACTGAGAAAAGTATGTTTCCTCAATGACAGGTTGTCTAAATGCTTACAGTTGTACATATATTTTTATTTCCATAAAACTGTCTACGGTCTGTGAATTTTATTTCAAGAATAGACAAAACATATCTGTTCTTCATTCTGTCTTTCCCAATCATTGGCTAAAGAAACATTCTGCAGAATAAAGTTAACCAGACATCATAACTAGAACTTCAGGCTTTATGTGACTTATTTTACTGCTATTTGTCCTCCATCCAAGAATCAGCAGGACTTTATGTCCTTAAGAGAACCAAAAAGAATGAAATTAGGTGCACTATTTAGCTATACTATTCTAATGAATTTTTTCCATGATTTACGAGCAAAAGTAACAAGAATTTCTTTGATTCTTGTGTTTACCGTTGTCCTAGAAAATACAACCATGATCCAGTGAAACAATGTTGAATTCTACTTTCTCCTTTTACACTGTTTTTCTTTTTTCTTTTCTTTTTTATTTAAATTAGAAACAAGTCTGCTTCATATGTCAATCCCCACTCCCTCTACCTCACCTCATCCATAAGACCCCACAAGCCCCCATGCCATATACCCCTTGCTCCCCAGGGAGGGTGAGGCACTCCATGGGGAATCCAGGCCGAGAGCACATCTCTCCACGTGAAATGGGCTCTATACACTGTTTTTCTAGTTTCAGTGTATATCTCTATATAATATTTACCTACTATGTATGAAACCTGTATTTATTCTTTATAATGAAAATAAATAAATTTATTTTTCTCTTTTATTCTTGTTTTTGCTTTCAAATCAATGTATTTATTCTTTGACAACTTCATGCATTTTTTTCTGATGATATGCAGACTAACAACTCCTTCCGTATGCATCCTCCTTCCCTACCCATGCAATTTTATATCCTCTTTTGTTGTTTTAAACACATAAAGTTCAATTTCTGCCACAGTGAAGAGTGGTGAACTTACCAAGAAACATATTCTTGAAGGAATCTAACTTTCCCTTTTGCAGAAGCTATCAATTGCCAGTAGTTCTTCTTTCTTTCCTGGGATACAGTCTAGCTAAAGCTTCCAGAGGTATACATGTCGGCAAAACTGTTTTGAGTCCAAATGTGCAGCTGCATTGATGTGTCAGGAAAACACTAGCTTCATGTAGCCATTCACTGCCCCTAGCTCTTATGTGCATTTGCTCAACCAACAACAACTATCCCCAAGCCTCAGAAGGAGCATGATATATTTGTCCCATTTGGGGATGATCAATTTTCAGACTCTTTTTCTAAACACTTGAACCAATTATCAGTTTCTGTTTCCTGGTGGATGTTGAAAGAGTTATCAATATCTAGGAATAACAGACGTTATGAGGTAAATAGTGCCTGAGTCTGAGTGTCACATAAAGCCCATATTAGAGTATGGCTCCAAAATGATTGGGTTGTATCACAAAAGTTTGTAGATAAGCAAGTTTTTATTACCTAGATACAAGGAAAATAATGGTTCAGAAAAGTCATACTCTTAATGGAGAGATAACAAAACAAGAAAGTTACTCTTTAATACATGTAGCTATAGCCAACAAAAAGATAATTTTTGCAACCTGAACCTAAATTCTGTTGCACTCTGTTTAATTGTGTTTCTTACAAATACATACATTTTGAGGAATGCTGGTTCATACCAGTTTAGAAGAAATATTTATTTCTCCCTGTGGGCTGCATTGCTATTCTAAAATATTTTACATTATTCATCCCACTGGCTTACCTATATCTAAGAGTCTTACAGTGTTGTCGTTTATCAAAAATGAAAGAAAATATGCCCAGGATCACATCCAGCAGCAACTTCCTTATTGGTCAATGGCTCTATACTCCTGGATTCATGAATTGTCTTTGTTCCAAAGATCTTAATTTCCCAGGCTATAATGTGAAACAGCTATACATATTTTCACTTAATGGACACGTGAGATTCTAGGTTTACATTTTAATCATGCCTATGCACTAAGTTAACCTGAAAGTCCAGCTATATTTAGCAATACTACACCTCTAAGAAACTTAGAATACATACAATAAAGTTTCAAACAAATAGAATGTGAATGTATGATAACATAACAAACATAAAGGAATCATATCTTCTAATTTGATAAAACTTTAAGAAAATCTTGGTTAAAATACTAACCTCAAATGTAGATATTATCCCAGCCTAATGAAAGAAATATGTTAGATAAAGCCTGAGATCTAGAACATAGATACAGGTCACTCCTTCATCCCAATTTTCAAATTTATCCTCATCTTCCTAGAAGATATATGTGAAAGTAGAGAGGTTCTTGTCTGGGAATATCAGTCCTGGAATGCATGCCATTTTGAGATCCTAATATGGTGACTAAATCATAATCTAACATATTAACAATCTGTGAAAACAGACAAACAAAAAATGTCCCTGTAGACCACTAAAATTGATCAAAAATTTAAATAAAGCAAAACAGAATGCTGGGCAAAGGGAAATGAGTAAGAGAAAGTAATCAAATAGTTTTTCAAAATTATTTAACTTATGAGATAAATGTATAAGTATGTTTTACTTAATGATATAACAGGGACTTGAATAAGGATCCTCTACTGGTTGGTTTTGTGTGTCAACTTGACACAGGATAGAATCATTAGACGAAGAATCCTTGCTTGATGAACTGCTTCCATGAGATTCAGCTGTAAGGCATTTTCTCAATTAGAGATCAATAGAGGATGTCGAAGCCCATAGTGGGTGGTACCATCTCCAGGCTGCTGGTACTGGATTCTATAAGAACGTAGTCTGAACACACTATGCTGTGCAGGCCAGTAAGTAGCATTCCTCCATGGACTCTCCATTGGTTCCTGCCTCCAGGATCTTGCCCTGAGTTCCTGTGCTGACTTCCTTCAGTGATGAAGAACAATGTGGAAATAGATGACAAATAAACATTTTTCTCCCAACCTGCATTTTCATCATGTTTTGTTATAGCAATAGAGACCATAATCTAGATAGGTCCTTTAAGTGCCTATAGACATATGCATGATATTTCATAACTCATCCTCTGGAATTATGATCCAAAAACCCTTCAGTGAGACAAAGGTGTAGTTGGTGGTTTTCGTCGGGACTGTGGACTACCCAGTAATAACAGAGATTTACCATTAATTATGAGAGATCAGCTGATCGCTTAGGTTTGTTTCTGACTAGCTTTTATAACAAATTAATCCATTTCTATTCATCTATGTGTTGCCACAGATGTGTGATTCCTATCTTTCTTTTTACATGCCTGTTCCTTCTGTATCTATTGGTAACTCTGCCTTCTTCATCCCAGCATCTTCCCTAGCCAGAAATCCTGCCTAGAATTTGCTCATTCAGCTTTTTTTAAATCAATTCAATCAGGCAATGACAATTCTTCACAATATGCAAAGTCATTATTACACAACACAAAATATCTACACTCCTAACAATCACTGGTATTGTAGTAGAGTCCATTTTGTAGAGACAAACTAATTAATTAAAATATCAGTATTGTAAATAAGAAGTAGACCTCCATCACTTTCTGCCAAGCCTAACTGTCATGACCATAGAGCCAAAGCACTCCCTACATAATTAAATATAGTTTCATTTTTTGCTAGTTTTAGAGATTTTTAAGCTTGATACCTTATATGAGAGAAGACACAGCAGAAGCTGAGGCAGTTAGGTGGTTTAGTAACAAAGTTAGAGATTGAACAATACTGTAGTCTAGATTTGAGTCATTTGTTTTAATTACTTTTATGTTTATTATAAACCCATAGGGAATAAATAATCATTTTTGTTTCCTTAGGTATTGAAAAATTAAATCCATGTCAAATGATACGTAGGAAATCTGGTACATAACAATTAATCGACCTATAAAACAGGTAAGGTAAAGCAAACTTTTTTTAGTGTTAACTCTTGTCATTTCACATAATATTATGTTTTCCTCAATTTTCTTGCCTGTGTAAAGGGAAGATTATTTTATTTACTAAAAATATTGTTATCATAAATTGTAACAATGTAGAAAAACAAAGTGTAGTGACAAAATAAGAATTGTAATCACTGAATAGATAATGCCTGTTGTTAACACATAATGATCCACTTACTTATTGAAAGTATATAAGAACTTCTCAACTACCCTGCTCTATTCTAACATGATATCTCTAGGAAACAGAGGTATTAAATTTGTGTTCAGTAAACCTAAACTAAACTAAATATAATTAGGTATTGAGAGGATGATTAAAGGAATTTACTTTCTGAAGTACATAGAAACTATAAATTCAATATAAGGTATACTGATAGGAAAATCGTTTATGATTTATAGAAAGAATTTAGGTTTCATTTCAAGAATATTTAAAATTCTACAAAATAATAAATAGAAATTTGATAATCCTCTAGTAAGTCCATTTGTTTTAGCTAAATTATATTTTTGTTTGTTTGTTTCTGTTTTTTCGAGACAGGGTTTCTCTGTGGCTTTGGAGATCTCCTGGAACTTGCTTGGTAGTCCAGGCTGGTCTCGAACTTACAGAGATCCGCCTGCCTCTGCCTCCCGAGTGCTGGGATTAAAGGCATGCGCCACCAATGCCCGGCCTTAGCTAAATTATCTTAAGCAATGTAGCTGTCTCTAAGAACATCTTTCATTTTTGGCATCATACAGGAAAGTGCGTACATCCATGTTCTTCCCAGCAATGGAATAGGAGTATATTTACTTCACTTAAATTATGTTTTTCCATGGAGAAAGTTGTTTCATATCTATCAGAGAATGGATAATATGTAAAAGCTATTGATTTGAGCTAGTATGGAGCTTAGACTGCAACAAAAGGAAATTCTCCTAAACCTTAGGAATTCACAGTCCACATAGTGAAAACATGCTGAAAGGCTATGGGTCACTTTTAATGAAATCTGCTAAGCAGATGATTAGTAAGATAAATGCTATATAATACAAAAAATTCTACAAAATACCAATGTGTTCCTTTTGTGTGTTCCATCTACTGCTGGGTATGGGGCCTATGCTTACATGTGGTATATGTACCTAATAAGACTTCAATGGGAAAAATTAACTTTTCCTTTCCAAGAAGTAGTCAATTAGAGATACCTTCTTGACTAGGCATCCTATCCACTTCCCTTGCCTATTCCTAAGTACTCATCTTTTGTGAACTACTGCAGGTCCTGTGCATGCTGTCACAGTCTCTGAGAATTCATAAGTGCACTCTTTTCTTCTTATCATCGATCTTTGGCTTTTACAATCCTTCATCTTCCTCTTAGATATAGTTCTCCAATCTCTGCTGGAGGGATTTAAGGAAGACATTCTATTTAGGACTCAGCGTTCCAAAGTCTCTTACATTCTACACATTGTCCAGTCAGACATCTCTTTATTAGTTCCAATCTACTATTGAAGGAAACATCTATGATATTGGGTTATTGAGAAGTTGATGTATACGGCAAAGTAGAACATTATTTGAAGTAATTTTATTGCTAGAATTCTTAGCAAGACAATAGTGTTTAATTTTCCTCTAGGCCCGCAGTCTATCTTATCTCACAGTCTTGGCAACCTGAGCAGTGTCAGGCAAAGTTTCTATCTCTTGAAGCATGCCTTAAATCTAATCAGATACTGGTTTTGTTACTCCCACAAGATTTGAGCCTCTACTCCACCAGTGTATATTTCAGACAGGTCTTTACTGAAGATTACAGAACTTATGATTGAGTTAGTGGTTACCTTTCTCATCTGGTAGTTATCAGAGTATTGTCCAGTACCATAAACAGTAGTCAATAAAGGTTGAAGCTCTATGTACACAGCTCAACTTATCAATGCTATATAAATAATGTGAGTGTTGTCTTCAGTGATACAGCTCTACCATCAGTTTGTGGTGAATATGCCCAAGAATGGTATAGTTGCATCTTGAGGTAGGTCTATTTGCAGCTTCCTGAGGAACTGCTATACTTTTTTAAATAATGACTTTACAAGTTTGCAGCCTCAACAGCAAAAGATGAGTGTTCCCCTTACCCTATTTCTTCTTTAGCTTGCACTGTCATTTGTTTAAATAAACTTAGCCATTCTGAATTGTGTATGCTGAAATCTCAGAGTCATTTTGATTTTCATTTCCCTTGTGACTAAGGATATTGAACATTTCTTTAAGTGTTTATCAATGATTTGAGTTTGAGAGAACTTTCTGCTTAGCTGTGTATGCTCTATTTTTAATGGAATACTGTATACTTGATGACCAGGCTTTGTTTTCCTTTTGTTCTTCATATGTTTAATATATTAACTTTCTATTAGATGTGAAATAAGTAAAAAATCTTTTCCCAGTATGTAGTCTTCTGGAGTGTATAATGATGATATCCTTTGCAATATAAAGGCTTTTCAGTTTTAGTTTCATGAGATTCCAAAAGTTCTTCTCAGAAAGCCAAAGGCAAATTTTACACTTCATACAGAGACACAAAAATCTCCGTATTGCTAAAACAATTCTAAATAATAAAAGAACTGCTGGAGGAAACGCCATTCCCAAGAACAAGTTGTACTACAGAACTATAGTAATAAAAAGAGTATGGTATTGGCATAAAAGTCAAGAGGCTGATCAATGTAATAAAACTGAAGAGATAGTTATAAATTGCCACACCCATGAACCCCTGTTTTTGTTTGTTTGTTGGTTCGTGTCTAGAAAGAAGGCAGTACTACACACTAACAAGAACAGAGCATCTTCAATCAAGTGATGCTGCTCAAACTTTATGCTTAATTGTAAAAGAATGCAAATATATCCATATTTATTACCCTGTATAAATCTCAACCTCAAATGGATCAATAACCTTAACTTGGATCCACATACCCTGAGTCTGTTATATGAGGAATTGTATAATCGTCTTGAAATCATTGGCACCAGAAAAGACTTTCTGAATAGAAAACCAGTAGTATGGGGATTTATGTTTTTTTAGATTGTATGTATCATTTGGAATACCCATGAAGGTTTTTCATGGAGGCAATGGGGAGGGAGGAATTTGAGGGTAGATATATTGTATGGGGATACAAAAGAGGAAAGAAGAATAATGAAGCAGGAAGTATAAAATTGTGGAGGGTTCCTCTCAAGGTAGAGGAAAATATATTGGGAGGAATATTTAATGCCTTTAAAATGGCATTTGGAAACATACTGTATGTAGAATCTTAGTAAAATACATACATATATAAATAGATTAAATGGCATTATTCTATAATGGAATTACAATAACTCAACTAGACACTCCTTCTTACAAAAAATTAATCATTAGAAATGGATTACCTTTTTATGAATTCCTGGCCAGTTTCCAAAGACACCAAGCATCACAAGGTATCTTCTGTGCTTTGGTTAATTTTCAGTAATAAAAATCTTTAGTGTATAAGACAAATGCAATTTATTTTAGTCATGTATAAATGGTATTTATCAAAATAATACAATGTCCTAGAGATACAAATATATGTACATGTGTATATATACTTCTTAAAATAGAAAATTGTTTCATTGTCTACATATTAATTTGCTATCTTTGATATTTTAGACATTTGTTATTTATGTGAATAATAGTTTAGAAACAAAATCTGTCCTACAATTATATAGAAGTTCAAAAGACTCTAAATAATGAATGCAATACTGAACCAAGAGATATAACATAAAAAGTTTCAAGTTATGCCACGGAGATGTAGTAACAGATAGCATGATAGTAGAGTAAAGGAGAATGTCAGAACAATGGAAGAGACTGCAATAATATAATGGTCCCTAAAATTAGCCCACATGTGTGAAACAGAGGGTTGTGAAATAGATGCCAGAAATGTGTCAGAGAAAAGACAACCTCTTTCACAAATGCTGCAAAGAAGACTGAGTATTTAATGAATTTCAGTACCCATATCTCGCCCTACACAGAAATCCTTAAAAATTAATTAAAAACTTAATACCCCAAACTTTTAAACTATTAAAAGAAAATTATGTATATATAAGTATATATAGTGATCATATATAATTATATTTTATAAATATAAAAATAATAAAACTATTATTTATTGTTTAATACACTATATATACAAATACAAGCAAACAAAAAAACAGACTTAGAAGAGTTATTTAGAGATATATGTGCACACACACATACATACATACACACACACACACACACACAAACACATATGTAACCACTAAAATCAAAGCAGAAGGGGATATAAGTTTAAAACTGGGGAAAATAATATAGTTTTAAGGTAGTGCCATTGGCAAGGAACTTGAGTAGGAAAAGTGAAGGGAGTGTATTTCAATTCTAAAAATATTTTAGGCAGCCACAAATGATGGATTCCTGACTAGTTCTCTAGTAATATAAGTATCATTTATAAATGATTTATTAAATAAAAAATATTATCCCTGGCATACAAATGGACTTTGGGTGCCCATCCAACAATGAGAGATCTCATCCTGGACTCTTGGGGGAGGGCCTAGGTCATGCCCTGGATGAAATGACAGTCTATGGGTAGCCCCCATGAAGGGTCTCATCCTTCCTGGAGAAAGGAGTGGGGGTTGGGGGGGATGGAGAATTGATGGGAGGTTGTGGGTGGAGGGGAGGGAGAGGGAGCTATGATTGACATGTGAAGCAACTTTGTATCTAAATTAATTTAAAAAATAAAAATTAAAAAATATATACATGGTAAAGGAAAAAAACCACTAGAGTGAATTTAAGTTTACAGCATCAGAGAAAATATTTAATAACTAGTCATCCAATTTTAGATCATTATCCAAATCATATAATAAATTTAAGTACATAAATAAGATTGTATTTATCCCTGGCATACAAATGGACTTTGGGTGCCCATCCTACAATGAGGGAGGTTCTTTCAGCCAGGACTCTTCGGGGAGGGCCTAGGCCCTGCCCTGAAGGAAATGATAGACTCTGGAGATTCCCCATGGAGGGCCTCACCCTCCCTGGGGAATGCAGTGGGGACTGGGTGAGGGGTTGGGCAGCTGGTGGGGGCCAAGGGAGGAGAGAAGGGAGAGGGAACTGGGATTGACATGTGAAACATGCTTGTTTCCAATTTAAATAAAATTTTAAAAAAGAATACAGGCTGAGCAAAACAGTAAGCAGAAAAAAATGAATGAATAAGTAGTCTATCAATAATTAAGTAGACAATGTTCAAGAAAACACATGCACATAACCAAATACATACATGAAAATAGGCAATAATATAGTGAAGAAACATTGGGAATTTGTTAAAGTTAATTGAAGTTCTGTCATATAGGACTGATACACTGACAAAAAGACATGAACCATGGGATTTCAGTTGTCTTTTATATTGATTTGGTTGACTGAACAATGTGGTTTACTATTTTTATTCAGGGAGAATAAGATAGTATTGGATTGAAAACTCTCAGTCATGGAAAAAATCACAGTTCAAGATGGGAAATGAAGCTCAAACAGATTTGTATATCTGTTATAACATAGCACAGTAAAATCGGTGTTGTGGCATTGTAAATTCAGGAATATTTTGTATTTTTGTTTTTATTTCTAAAGAGCCCATACCTATATGCTTCATTTTGTTCTGATACCTGAGTTAATTCTATTGACAGTGGCAGAACAGTCTGTCTTCCAATCTAAGAGTGGGTGAGTGCTGCATATATTTTTTTTTTTGCTAAGAGAAATACCTTTTTCCTTTTTTTTCAGATATTTAATTTAAATTACAAAGCTTGTTTTACATGTCAATCCCATTTCCTACACCTTTCACTCATTTCCTGCCCCCCAAAAGCCCCACATCCCATCCCCTTTCTAATCCCCAGGGTGAGGACATCCAAGGTGGATCTTTAAAGTACATCATATTATTTGCAGCAGAGCCTAGGCCCTCCTCCATGTATCTAGGCTAAGAGAGTATCCCTCTACTTGGAATGGGCTACCAAAGTCGATTCACACACTTGGGATAAACACTGATACACTGACAGAGGCTCTATAGATTGCCCAGGCTTCCTAAATGACACACATAATCAGGGGATTTGGTTCAGTCCTATGCTGGTTTCCCAGCTATCAGTTTAGGGTCTATGAACTACCCCTTGTTAAGGTCAGCTCTTTCTGTGGGTTTCTTCAGCCTGGTCTTGACCCCTTTGCTCATCATTCCTCTGTTCAGTTCAGTGTTTAGTTGTGGGTGTCTGCTTTTGCTTCCATTAGCTACAGGATGAAGGCTCTAGAATGGCATATAAGGTAGTAATCAAACTCATTACCAGGGAAGGGTATTTAAGGTAGCCTCTTGACTATTGCTTAGATTGTTAGTTGGGGTCATCCTTGTAAATCTCTGGACATTTCCCTAGTGACAGGTTTCTTTTTATACCTATAATGTCTCCCTCTATTATGGTATCTTGTTTCTTGCTCTCCTCTAATCTTCCTGTGACTCAACTTCTCTGCTCCCTCATGTCCTCCTCTCCTCCCCTTTCCTCTTCTCACCTAATCTTTATCCTAACTCCTCACCCTTCTCCTCATGCTCTCAAATTTCTCAGGAGATCTGTCCTTATCCCATTCTCCAGGGGACCATGTGTTTTCTCTCTTAGATTCCTGCTTGTTTCCTTGCTTTTCCTGAAGTATGGATTGTAGTCTGATAATCCTTTGCACCATGTCAAAAATCTACATACCATGTTAGTCTGTTTTTGATTGGGTTACTTCACTCAGGATTGGTTTCTTCTAGTTACATCATTTGTCCTGTAAATATCAAGATTCCATTGTTTTTTTTTCTACTGAATAGTACTCCATTGTTTAATGTACCACATTTTCTCTATCCATTCATCAGTTTAGGGGCATCGAGGTTGCTTCCAGTTTGTTGCTATTACAAATAATGTTTCTATGAACATAGTTGAGCAGATGTCGTTATTGTATGAGTTTAAATAATTTGGGTATATGCCTAAGAGTGCAGTTGCTGGATCTTGTGGTAAACTGATTCCTGTTTTCCTGAGAAACCTCCATACTGATTTCCCAAGTGGCTATAGGAGTTGGTACTCCTACCAGCAGTGGAGGAGTGTTCCCCTTTCTCCCCATCTTCTCCAGCATAAACTGTCATTGGTGTTTTTTATTTTAGTCAATCTCAAAGTAGTTTTGATTTGCATTTCTCTGATAGCTAAGGATGTTGAGCACTTTCTTAAGCATCTTTCAACAATTTTAGATTCCTCTATGGAGAATTCTCTATTTAGTTCTGTACCCCATTTTTTAATTGGATTTTTTGGTGTTTTGGTGTCTAGTTTTTTGAGTTCATTTTTATAATTTGGAAACCAACCCTCTGTCAGATATGGGGTTAGTGAATATCTTTTCCCATTCTGTGGACTGCCATTTTGTCTTGTTGACTGTGTCTTTTGCCTTATAGAGTTTTCTCAGTTTCAGGAGGTCCCATGTATTAATTGTCAATTTCAGCGTCTGTGCTACTGCCATTATGTCCAGGAAGCAGTTTCCTGTACCAATTCATTCAAGGGTACTTCCCTCTTTGTCTAGAGGGAAGATTCAGTGTGGTTGGATTTATATTGAGGTCTTTGATCCATTTGGTCTTAGGTTTTGTGCATGGCTATAGATATGGATCTATCTCCAATCTTGTGCATGCCAGCATCCAGTTATGCCAGCACCATTTGTTGAAAATTCTTTCTTTTTACCAATGATTTATTTAGCATCTTTGTCAAAAATCAGGTGTGCATAGGTGTGTACATTAATATGAGGGTCTTCAATTTGATTACATTGTTTTATCTGTATATTTAAGTGCTAACACCAATCGGATTTCAGGACT